CTAACACCATGGGCTCTTGTCTTATTTAGCAGACTCCAGTGCAGTACCTTGTTAAAGGCCTTCTGCAAATCCAAATAGATCACATCCTCTGGCTCTCCTTTCTCTAACTTGCTCAAAGAATTCTAATGGATTGTCAGGCATGACCTCACCATGACAAAGCTTTGCTTGATTCCACCCTATTTTAATCATGCGCATCCAGTGTAACAGACCACATTGGTCTGCACAGCCACCTACAGTCTCACTCTGAGCGAGGAAGAAAGTCATCCTCATCTGCGAGGGACTGCCAGTGATGATGGTGATGACCATGTACTTCCAAGTACTCTGCAAACTCATCCTCAATAATGGATTCTGAAATGACCGAGGTCAGGCTAACTGGCCTTTTTTAAAAATTCATTAACGGGATGAGGGCATCACTGACCCAGCAGCATTTATTGCCCATCCCTAATTGCCCAGAGGGCAGATCAACCACAGTGCTATGGGTCTGGAGTCACATGTGGGCCACACCAGGTAAGGATAGCAGTTCCCTTCCCTAAAGGATATTAGTGAACCAGGTGGGTTTTTCCCGACAATCGACAATGGATTCACAGTCATCGTTAGATTCTTAATTCCAGATATTTTATTGAATTCAAATTCCACCATCTGCCGTGGCAGGATTCAAACCCGGGTCCCCAGAACATTATCTGGGTCTCTGGATTAACAGTCCAGCAATAATACCACTAGGCCATCGCCTTCTATAGACTCCTAGGCCTATAACCGCCTGCCTTCTGCCTCCCTCCCTCCCTCCATAAACAGGGGTGTTACCTTAGCGAATTTCCAGTCTAATGGGACCCTCTCTGCCTCCAGTGATTCCTGAACGATCACCACCAATGCATCTACAATCTCCTCAGCTATCTCCTTCAGAACTCTGGGGTGTAGTCCATTCGCTCTGGGTGATTTATCCACCTTCAGACCTTTCAGCTTCCCCACCACCTTCTCCTTAGTGATGGCCACTACACTCACCTCTGCCCCAACTGTCTCGAAGTTCTGGTATGCTGCTGGTGTCTTCCACCATGAAAACTGATGCAAAGTACCTATTCAGTTTCTCCATTTCTGTTCCCTGTTACTACTTCTCCAGCCACATTTTCTGGTGTCTAATGTCCACTCTTGCCTTTCTCTTACCTTTATATATCTTAAAAAAGAACTCTTGCAATCTCCTTTTATATTACTAGCTAGCTTACCCTCATATTTCGTCTTCTGTTCCCTTATTGCTACTTTAGTTATCCTCTGCTGGTTTTTAAAGGCTTCTCAATCCTGTGACTTCCCACTAATCTTGGTCACATTCTATGCTTTTTCTTTTACTTTTATGCTGTCCCTGACTTCCTGTGTCAGCCATGGCTTCCTTGTCCTCCCCTCAGAATGTTTATTCTTCCTTGGGATGAATTTTTGCTGTGCCTCCTGAATTACCCCCAGAAACTCCTGTCATTGCTGCTCCACTGTCTTCCCTGTTAGGCTCCCTTTCCAATCAACTCTGGCCCGTTCCTCCCTCATGTCTCTGTAGTTACCTTCACTCAACTGTAACACCATTACATCTGATTCCAGCTTCTCCCTTAGCGCTAGCCCCACTTATCATCCTGGACTCTTGCTCACAGCCGTAGAAATACACAGCTGTGCCCCTGCCTATAGAGTCCCCTATCACTGCTGCCTGCCTGCTGTTCGGCCCTCCCTGCTGTACCATAGATTTAATCATGGTGTGACTGATCTACCTGCTGCTACTGCTTTCCCCGAAGAGGCTGTCACTTCCAACAGTATTCTAAATGGTACAATTGTTTGAGAGGGGACTCTTGCATTGTCTGCCTGTCCTATATCTGGGCGAACCTTTGAATTGACTACATCATCTACACAACTTCCTGCCTGCTGTACGCTCCTCAGTGAGTCCAACTGCTGCTCCAACCAACGCCTGCATTCTGAGAGGAGCTGCAGGTGCACACCCAGTCTGACCTCCCACATCACACAGGAAGAGCAGACCACTTCACTAATTGCCAATACTATCCCTCCAGTAACTGAAAAAAAGGAAAGACCTTAATGTCACTCATCCTCCTGAGCAGAGCCCGATGCTCACCAAAGCACACACTTTGGTAAAGCTTGCCTCCCATTTAGATGCGGCTGTTGGAAGGAAAAGCCCCTCCCCAGCACTGGGTACTCGGCAGTCACTTTGCATGACCAGTCTCTGTAACCCTCGGACAGCATGACCCTCAGGGACAGTGACCCAGGGACAGTGACCCTCAGAAACTGTGACCCAGGGACAGTGACCCTCAGAAATTATGACCCAGGGACAGTGACCCTCAGGGACAGTGACCCTCAGAAATTATGACCCAGGGACAGTGACCCTCAGGGACAGTGACCCTCAGAAATTAT